AGTCAAGTCAATTGTCAAGTCAAGTCAATTGTCATGTACACTAAAAGAATACGGGTGTTCTGAGCAAACAAATACAAAAATATTGACGGCTCCTTTATTGTTGGATTTTGTTTTTTGAAATAAAGCTATATATATCTATAAATATATATATATATATTCTGTCTCAAATTGAAGGTCGTATTGCGTAGGTTGTCTAAACTTGGTAATTACAGTAATTGGTAATTAGTGACTCAGTATTGGCCCAATGCCTTTTTGGAAAGTTTCTGCTTTTTTGAAAATAAAAAAATGCATCCTTTATGGAAATAAAATTCCTCCACAAGGCCCGAGGTGTCCTATGAAATTTAAATAAATGGAAAAAACATTTTTTCAAATTCAAATTTTTAATTTGTCAATGACTTCACAAAAAACAATACCACTGCACACTAGCTAATTTACTCCAGATTTTGGCCTTGTGCCCAGGCTTAATGGCCTTGTGCCCTAGAAAAAATATGAATAGCCAAGGCCAAAGTGGCTGTGCCCTCCTAAATCCTTATGTCTAGCCCTGCATCAGTCAATAGCAATATAATAGGGCACCATTCGAAAAGGCAGCAACAACAGCATTCAAAGTGCAGTGTCCAGCATGCGGCTGGCCCTGCGCGTTCAGAAAGCCGCCGTGTTGTTTTAGTCACCCGAGTCCTTCGGCCTGATGCAGCCACCCCTACCCTCCCCAGAGCGCGTGTGCTCCTCTGCGGGAACTCGGATAACGCTAATGGGGCCCCGTTAAGCAATGCAGAAAATGTGTTTACTGGTGTTTAAAAATGGCACCATAATGAAGAGGCGGAGATGGAGAGCAAGCCAGGGGGAGGGGCACACATACGTTCTACGGAATAATGCCTCTGTATACCAAAGCAGGAAAGCTAGCTCCGCAATGACTGACGCCACAAAATGTCACATAAGTCTTGTGACATGCCTTGACCTCTCAGTGCCCGATTCCAGGTCCTCACATGCTGGGCTCCTGACTAATTAACGCTCGCTACCCTGTTTACTGAAGGTACAGCATTATTTAAATCATGCCAAACAGAACAATGCGGTTAGGGACCAACTGCAATTACGTCATGAAACTTAATGAATTAATACGTAACTCTGATTAATCAATAATGCATGGTCTAATGAGGCAACGAGTAGTTAGGCAATCAATTTATTAGCTTCTTATACTTATCAAATAAGCAATACATCTCAACTCATATATAACACAGTTTTCACATCTTAAAAACAAGTAATTTGCAGGATTCATCCAGTTATTAGTGTGATAAGAGTAAAAATATTCCTGTTTGGATGAAGAACCAGAATACCTGACCAGTACACCCACACTCCATTTCAGCTTGACACTTCAAGTAAAATATCACAGCCTGTTATTAAGACACAGAATAGAATCTTAAAAATTAAATTGACGCAGCTTAATTAAAGGGCACAAACACAGAGGATGTTCTCCATCGTTATAGAGCCATCAGCGAGCGACTGTGGGAACGCATGTAAGCAGTGTCCCCATTGGAGGAGTCAGGAGCTCTGTATGAAGGCAGCGTGGTCAGAGGAGGCGTGGAGGATCATACAGGCCATTTTTAAGTCAACGATTCTTTCAAGCCCTAATTCTCGCTACACTGAGCCACATCCCATGCTTGGCTGTGAGTGGAACAATTCAGCTGCTGGCTGTTAAAGTGTTACTACAGCGTACTGCCTCATCCATATGGTGTGGGGACCGGCCAGGCTCCCAGCGAAGGGGCCCATTTGACAATCGGCTCTTTCGCTGTTTATCGTTTACGCGTGGACGGTTGCTGTGGGTGAGACGGGAGAGAGGGACACATGTAGGGGGTATGAAGGAGATTTACCTCGGGATCCCATTTCTAATAAAGCGAAGTCACCCTGCTCCCTCCAACCAGATCCGCATACGTCATTACACTTTGGCCCCATACTTTTGCTGACGTCATCGCCCTGCCAGGTAGCTGGGGGGGCACCTTGCCATCAGGACACCAGGGGAGCTCGGCAAAACCCCAACCCCCCCAGTCACCAGATTCAGGGAGCGCAGCAGACATATCTAGATTTACACCTTATAATCCTTATAAATCAGCTAAACTGTTGACAACCCTTACGATTCATGTCTTTATGATTCATTCGGATCTTACCACAATTATAGGCAAGTTTCCTAGCAACCGAATCTTGTTGCATACATTATTTTCTTTCACCGCAGATCAAATCACAAACAGCACATTGGGCAAGAAGCAGTAACGCTGATCTGGATACCTTTTTCCGTGTGAAGTGACCCCCCCTCACCCCCACCCCCCCTGGCCGTGCTCTGCAGGGGCTGCCTCCTTTCGGCACAGCTTAATGACTTTGACTGCTCATCCCTCACGGCTCATTACGCTAAACACACACCCAGCTCTCCCCTTCTGCCACTCTGACCAGACATAAACACTAACCCTGTTTTTCAGAAAAGCTACAGATGTTTCTCAGCACATCAGGTGCCATGTACAATATCTTCGGGGAAAAAAAATCCCAAAATCCACTTCTAGCGTGCGCACTTTATTTCCAGTAACTCTATAGTAGTTCCTTACTCCTGTGAATAATCAAAATCTAGACCAAATCTGGACCCAAAAGTAAGCAGATCCAACCTTGAGGTTTAGTCCGCAATGCTTTCCTGTTTCATTCAATATATTTTTAAAATAATTTCAAGGTTAGCCTAGCATGCCTTAACACAGGCCAGTTCCAGCATAACCACACTATAACAAACAAAAGTTAACGCAGCTGGCTGCAAGAGTATTAGTAGTATTTTTCCTTTTGGAGGAGTGTCATGGGCGGACAGGGACAAGGTGTTCTGCTTCTAATCAGAGCAATGTTTGTTTGGCAAACACCAGAACAGGACGAAACCCAGCCGCGCGGAACAACTGGATCCAGATGACGGCTAATTGGTAACATCAGCAAACCTCGCCCCCCAACACCCCAGCTCTACCGTAAAGGGAGGCAAAAGCAGACCCGCGGAATGGGGACACATACACCCCCACGCTCAGCCCTGCACCCCTGCATGTCAAACAGTTTCCTGGGTCTCACAAATTCTTGAAGATGGTTCCCATTCTACAATGATGCTCAGTGTCTTTTTCTGGAAGCATCTACCCAGCCTGCTCATGAGTTTGGTCTCCGTTGCAGAAAAGCTCAAGCTCTCTCTCTCTTAAGAGGCTTTGGAATAAACTGTAAAGTGTTTTTTTCAGCTGGATTCTCTCCCACTCATACATATATACATGTAGTTTGTGCATGCTGTAAATGGCTGATAAAGTTCAATATACTAGATACTTGATTTAAAGCGCTTGCTGAGTCACTTAGCACTGAGGATTTGAACCTTTGGGATTCAATACTCAAGTATTCAAAGTGGTATTCCTGCCAGATACTGATTTTGTATAAATTTGAAAGTTCCCTATCTAAGAAATTTAACTGAGATGTATGTGTTTTGCTGAAGGTTTGGAAGGTTTTAGCGTTTTATCTCCTCTGTGTGTGTGTGTGTTTGTGTATGTGTGTGTTGTATTTTCCAAGGAGGGTGGACTTAATATGCAATGCTGCACATCCCAGAGGATTCTGGTACATGCTTCCCATCCCTCATACTCTGAGCACTTCCTAAAGTGAACTTCCTGTTTTATGCCTGTTACCCCACAGGACGGACAGGGATTGGCAGCCCGAGGCAAGTCGTACGCAAACCAGACGCCACTCTTCTGTTCTTCCATTGCTGAAAACAGAATGTCCTGCCTGGAGCAGAAATTGTCTGAAGAGCATTTTTTGGTCAAAGTCATGGACAAGACCAATACATGTGTGTGTATTTTGACCACATCTACAAATACTACACAAAATGCTCTCCTTTTGTTTTCAGACATTCTGGACTTTTTTTTGGAGAAGCAGGAACACGCAGCAGGGCTGAGAGAAAGCAGGTCACATGGCATCATCCATATTACTTACGATGGTCTGATGGTAATGCAATATCCAGCCTATTATTTATGCCATTCTGTTATTACCAAACCCAGTAAAATGTCCCCAGCCAGGGTTCTCACAATGGCAGGATGTCCGATGCCAAGCAAATAAGAAAAATATGTCCTTTCATTTCTGTCTGACTGTATATCAAAAACAGAGCTGTTATGAATCCTGAGGTTATGCATAACAAAGGGGGGACAAACTTGTTTATGAATTCCTTCAAGATGGGAAAAAAGAAGCTACAGAGCAAGGCATTCTGGCAAAGCTCCAGGTGATGGATGCGAGGGCTTTGTCTTCAGGAATGCTTGACATAATTACAGTAATTAGCATGTGGGCAGCATGGAATTCAATGGGATTATCACTGGGATTATCTGACATTGGGATATTCTTCCATCGTGACAATCATTCCCCACTGTGACAATCCCCTATCATGACAATCCCCCATCATGATAATTTCCCATCGTAACAATCCTCCATCTTGATAATCTCCCATCGTTAACAATCCCTCATCATGATAATCTCCCATCGTAACAATCCTCCATTGTGATAATCCCCCATTGAGATAATCTCCCATCATGACAATCCCCCATCGTGATAATTTCCCATTGTAACAATCCTCCATCTTGATAATATCCCATCGTGATAATCCCCCATTGAGATAATCTCCCATCGTGACAATCCTCCATCTTGATAATATCCCATCGTGATAATCCCCCATTGAGATAATCTCCCATCGTGACAATCCTCCATCTTGATAATATCCCATCGTGATAATCCCCCATTGAGATAATCTCCCATCGTGATAATCTCCCATCATTACAATCCCCCATCATGATAATCTCCCATCATGACAATCCTCCATCTTGATAAACCACCATCTCCCATTGTTACGATCACCCATCATCATAATCTCCCATCATGACAATCCCCTTCGTGACAATCTCCCATCATGATAATCCCCCATTGGGATAATCTCCCAGTTGTACAGGGAGAGTTCATCTCTTACCATGTGAGATACTCCAGGGCCAGCTGGGTGGCTGAGGCCTTCTCCATCTCATGCTTCTTCACCGTCTTCCCCTCTGCTTTCATCCTATTCTTCTCCTCCTTATTGCGTAGCTTCTTCATCTTTCTCTCCAAGACGCGCTTCTCTTCTGGGCTCAGGTCATCCTCCCCGCCTTCTGGCTGCTCTTCCTCCACCTCTTCCTCCGTCACCGCGGACGCCCTGTGCTCCGAGACCTTCAACCAGACAGACTTGTCAGATGGGCACTATCCCACACACCTCTGCCACAGGCTTCAGTTTCACGCTGTTTCCTAAAAGCAGAGCATTAAGTGTGTAATACATTATTCATACATGGAGTTTTCCCATGTCTCCAGAGACAGTGTCTTCAGCACCTACCTGGCATTTCATTCCAGACGTGACATTTTTATACAAAGTGGCTCACAATCCCCTTCCACTTACATAATCAGAAGCTTTACATGAATGACTTAAGTACCACAAAGACACCACTATGTTAAGCCACTGCTTAGATCAGGGCTGGTGTTGCAGTTTTCATCCTTTCATCTCAGTTGCTGTCCAAGACTGCTGTGGCTATTCTGGAAAATAAACTAATCATCTAATGATTCTAAGACTTAACTATGGGAAAAAAAGACGGGAAAGATCAGTGGAACTTTGAGCTGCAAGTCCTCAGAAGCAGAAGCAGAGATACACACACGTAAGGTTTCCAAAACTGCAGATCACCCCCCCACCCGCTCATATCCCCATCCTCCTTATTGCAAGATGAGAAAATCGAGAGGACTTTGCACTCCCCTTCCTTTAATATACTGATGGTGCTTGAAACAGACATGTGACCCCCAAATCTGAGAACAGATTGGCAGACCATTGAGGTTAGAGGGCATTTTACAGGGCCTGTTAAATCTCTAGAGAACACACACTCTCCAAAACCCTGACAGACAAACGGTGTTGTGTTATTTAGAGAGGATGTGGGGCTTAATAACAAGCCCCCCTCCCAGAGTGATCCAGTGAGCTCTGGGGGGTAAAAAACCTCCATCAAACCAAGCAGCTTCCTCCACAGGCAAGTAAATCACCACAGGCGGATATGTGGAGGAACAAAGCCTGCCTGTGTAGTGTCAAAAGGGCTGCTCTGACTGCCAGAGGAGGACAGCGAGCAGAGTGACGGGGCGAGGAGGACAGCGAGCAGAGTGACGGGGCGAGGAGGACAGCGAGCAGAGTGACGG